AAGTATCCTACAGATTCAGCCACAATGCAATATATTCGATCCTGTACAATCTAGCCCAATCTCCCACCCACAGGAAAGATTGTTTGTCGGGACTGGCCAGAGACTGTGGTGCAGTTGAACATATTAGGCAAGTTTAACATTAAAAGTGGTGTATAGCAGTGAAGTCATTCTGAGAGGCTGTATTGCACTGATTGATATTACCAAGCATATTTAGGAAGAAGAGGAAGACTGTTACTGGATTCAGTAAGTTTAACTAGGCTGACTTGCTTTTGTGAGATTAAGGCCCAAGTGAGACTCTCTAGGCTATAAGAAAGGTGCTTTTCCACTGTGGTTTTTCTAAGGAAATTATTTCCTTGGTTTTAGGATTATATGGAGCCACTTTCCTAGTGGAATTAGGGAAGCAATTGAAGGAAAGTATCTGTGTCTAGATGTTGCCTTGCTGAGTGGCTGGGGCCTTATGATACTGTCCCTGTGTGGCAAGAGGTCAATAAAATCAATAAAGACTGAGTTGCTTATTGGAAGGCCTTTCAAAGATGATTGCATAAATCTTTTAAGCAGCACCAGTGATGCGACACTATCATATTAAATATGTGTTTGGAATCTGAATATAATGACTGCCTAATGGGAAGCAACTGTATGACCCATGTGATTTAGTACTAAAGGCAGAATTTATGCTTGAGTCAAAACGGGGATAGAAAAAGCAAGCCAGAAAGTCTCTGCTAGAACTCTGCTGAGTTCATCAAAGGTAAAGAGAAGGAACTTGGGGACCAGGAATTCCCTTGTCACATTAACTCTCACAATGGAAAATTCCTAGGGAGAGGCAAAATAGGAAGATGATTCTGATTAATTGGAATATATTACCTAGAATATGGTGAGAAAATAGGATTGCCTCTCTCAGAAAGATATATTCAGATTATGTGGAAAGCATGTCTTTGGACAAAAAAGCTAATATAGTACAAAACCATTCCCATCATGCAGCAAGCAGATGGTAGTAGAGGGAAAAGAATTCTCGTAGCCACTGATGTAATTGGCAGGATGATGTGTGAGTTGTCATGTTTAAGATAGCACAGTCTCCACATTGAATGGGATACATGTCAATGTGATTTCCTGAAGTAGAGATTTGCTTACCTGGAATCAGAGACAAACCAGGTGTGCTAGCCACAATTGAAGACCAAAGGACTCAGATACCTTCTGAGTACCAGGATTTGCTAGATGTATTTATTAAAGGGAAAGCAGGTAATTTGTTCTCTCACCAAGAATATAATTGGCTCATAGACTTCCTCTGAATATCACTACCTTATGGGTAGAATTATGACCTTCCTTAGCAAGAGAGGTGAGCTTTATTGGCAGATATACCTGAATATATAAAGGCATATATTTTAACATAGGACTGTGTATTTAGAATTAGAAGGGACCTTTGAGGCCATCTATTTCCATTTATCTTAGAGAGTCCAAGACCCTCATTTTAAGTATGAGGAAGCTGAATCTTAGAGATATTAAATGATTTGCTCAATCACATAGGTAGTTAACTGACAAGAGTCCAACCTCTGACTTCAACCTCATGACTCTTTTCACTTTCATCCTCAGTGTTGGGGTGCTTTCGTCTTTGCCCTTAAGAAACAGGGTTTACTATGAGCATGTATTGACTTTTACGCAGAGTTTAGGTCCATTGGTAGATGGAACAAAAGGGGCCTTCCTGGACTCAAGTGTGACATCTGTAATAACTCCAAATTTGCATTCATCCTTGTAACAGGGAGAGACATAGTTTTTTGCCCCCCATTAAGCTGTCCTTATACAAAAGTTTATGAAGGAAGCAACTAAGTCAGCAAACTATGTAACTGTCTGTCCTCTTCTGATCACACTAATTCATACCTACAGAAACAAGGTATAATAGAATGGATGAAGAGGTATTGGCAGTTATTAGCCCTGCAGACATGGCAGCAACTGGAAGGGGATTGATACCAGGTGATGGGAACAGGGTTATATGATGTTAAGGATGCATATGATCTTGGAGTTCAACTATTCCTACATTTTACAGATGAGGAAATCAAGACCAAGATAGGTTGAGCAACTTGCCCAAGGTCACACAGCAAGTTAGTGGACAAGTGAACCTAGATCAAAGGAGTTTTGGTTTTGTTGTAGACTCTGCACTTATTGTCCTTTGTCCTCCCACTTTTGTCATTCTTGTTTAAAGTCCTATTATGTGTCATCATGGTGAGGGGTGACCTTGAGTTCTCAGATGACTCTGTAAATGGAGAGTAAGCTCTGACACATCCTACCACAGTGGAAACACATTAAAAAAAAGCCTAGCAACTGATTGTGGATCAGTCATCCAAACACCAGTTTACTTTAGTTTAGGAAGGCTCGTCATTGGATTGAACACAGGATGAAGAATTTTTCATCCAGATAACACAAGAAGACAATCTGCTAGGGCACTGAATGGTTGCAATTTGTGTCAGTGGAAGGAATATCCTCAGTAAAGAAATCTCAGATAATCCTGATATTATATGAACAGAAAAATACAATACTATTAACAAACAGAATCCAATTTTAAATTCACACTGATACCTATCTGAACATTTGGGAATCATGGTATTCCATAAAAAAGGCTAAGAAATAGGATAAATAGTACTTGAATTATGGCAGCCATATAAAAGAAATATGACTGTGATTCAGGTTATGAATCTTTTCCCCAGTTTCATCCCAACTTGTTACACCATTTGAATCACAACCATGAAAAACCTGAAGTATATGGAACTTTTCTGAACAACTTCAGTTAGCATTAATTTGTGAAACTGAAACACATCAGTGTGGTGTAGTGGATAGAGTGCAGGTCTTAGAGTCTGAAAAAAATGGGTTCAGCCCCACCACTGAAAAAACATGCTAGCTGTTTAACTTTGAGCAAGTCACTTAACGTTTAAATGCCTCAGGCAGTTCCCGAGGATTTATTCACTAAATCATGTACAGGTTGCACACGGTGGATCCTTACGCTTAAAAAAAAAATCACAAATTCTTCATGTCCTTTTTTGTAGAATCATATAAACTTTTTGGGGTAAAGATATTTTTGAAAGGATTTAAGAAATGAAAGGACTTAAAAATAAACAAGAAAGACTTAATTACTCAGCAACATAATGAATATCCTGTAAGAGTGAATTTTCCTGAAATTGAAACCCTTACCCTTTTAGAAGTAAAATTTTATATTTTAATCATTTTAATTTAAACTTTCTGCAGACTATCTTCCTGGTCTAACTTATTTCTTTCTGGAGCAGAACATACTGCAAAAAAAACATGATTTCATCTGTGTAGATACTCCCTCCATTGATGGCTACCACTCTGTGCTTTAATAGAGGGTCTTCATGAGCTACTGAGGCAGCAATTCATTACCTTGAGAGCAACCTTCCAGTCATGATACTTTCTTCACTTAGCTTGATGCCTCCTCAGAAACATTTTTGTCTTTAAGTCCAGATAAAACTCAAAGCCAGAGAACTAAGCAGTGAGGTCGAGTTTGTGTTTTACTCGCATAGACTTTGAAAGCCGAGGGTCACCTTCATTCCATGATGAGACATTGGACAGATTTTCTGATGCAGGAGACAGAATATACTGAACACTTTGTGACTTGTGATTTCATTAGAATAGAGAATTTCCAGGGAGGAAACTCCATAAACTAATGTAGATTGATACACTCTTGGCAACTTTTGGTCTTAGAATATTGCTTGGGGTCATTAAGATACTAAGTGACTCATCCGCAGTCACACAGCAAGTATCTTTTTGTTGTTGTTGTTGTTCAATCATGTCCAACTCTTTGTGAATGTGACCCATGGATTATAGCATGCCAATACTATCCATGGAGTTTTCTTGGCAAAGATTCTGGAATGGCTTGTAATTTCCTTCTGCAGTGGATCAACACAAATGGAGATTAAGTGATTTGTCCAGGGTCACACAGCTAGGAAATATGTGAGGTTGGATTTGAACTCAGGACTTCCTGACTCAAGGCCCAGAATTCTGTACACTGAGCATCTTTCCTATCCTTAAAATTAGCTATGCTGCTCCTCAAACAAGAGACACATAATCATCACAGGGTCCATATATGAAGTCTTTCCAGCTTGGTAGGTATGGGAGCTTCTCATACACTGGATAGCATAGAGAATCCAGGGCCACTTCCACACAAAAATGAGCCACTGTGAGGAAACTTTAATGAAGGATGATGTGCAATAAAACACAAAGCAAAATAAATCCAAGATTGATTTATCATAGAGGCAATGTGGTGCCTAAGTTCAAATACAGGCGCCTCTACTTACCAAGTCGGGCCAGTCACTGTCTTAACATTAGTTTCTTTAATTATAAAATGAAGGGGTCGGACAAGATGATCTCAGAGGTGTCTTCCATCTCTATATCTATTTTGATGAAATGTAGGGCTCTATGCTAACTATAAGTATAGTCCTTTGGAGAGTGGAATCAGGTGTGTGAGAAAACCTCTTCTCTCCCCATTGTCTCTGAATGGAGACTCTATGTGATAACCACGCAGAGACAGTCACAACAGAAAGATTTTTGTCTCTGAATAAGAGAGAAGCTTGTTGAACAAACCTGGACTGGCAGATTACAAAGGCAGTATTCTGTAATAGGATGAACATAGTCCATGGAGCCCATGGTCTAATGTTCTGTGATCTAAAGCCCTTCTAGTTGTAATGCCACATGTTCTATTTTATAGCATTCTAGGTTATGTATTCATTCAAATATAATATTGTTCTCGCTATGCTCTAATGTACTTTCCAGCTCTAGCATTTTATGTACAGATGCTACCATTCTAGGTTCTAAATCTCCTTCCTGTTCTAACACTTTATGTTCTAAGGTCCCTTTTAACTCTAACATTATAAAGTCTGTATTCTAAATCTTATCTAAACATTTGTGACTTTATGAATCTTATGTGTATTAAGCCTAATTTTTGTGACTCAGTGGTAGATATTTCTCATTCCCTTTTCTTCCAGCAGTTAGTAAAACAGCATGGGAAGAGACAACAACACAAGTGTCTCTGAATTCCTCCTCCTAGGACTTCCCATCAGACCACAGCAACAGGTCTTGTTCTGCATCCTGTTCTTGAGTGTTTATCTCACCACACTGTTTGGGAACTTGCTTATCATCTTGCTGATCAGATTAGACTCTTGCCTTCATACTCCCATGTATTTTTTCCTCAGTCACTTGGCCTTCACTGATGTCTGTTTCTCATCAGTGACTACCCCAAAGATGCTGGTGAACATGCAAACAGGAAGCCAGACCATTTCCTGCAATGGCTGCATCTCACAGGTGTATTTCTTCATATTCTTTGCTGATCTGGACAGTTTCCTGCTCACTGCAATGGCTTATGATCGCTATGTTGTCATCTGCCACCCTCTCCACTATACTACTGTCATGAGCCAGGAATTATGCATCCTACTGGTTGCTGGATCTTGATCCTCTCCTGTGCCAACTCCTTGACCCACACCCTTCTCCTGGCCCAACTGTCCTTCTGTGCAGACAACACCATAGCTCACTACTTCTGTGATCTGGCTGCTTTGATCAAGCTATCCTGCTCAGATATCTCCCTCAATGAACTAGTGATATCCACTGTAGGGGTAGCTGTTATTACACTGCCATTAATATGTGTCATTGTCTCTTACATCCGTATTCTTGCCACCATCCTGAAGATCCCTTCTACTAAGGGGGTCTGCAAAGCTTTGTCAACCTGTGGCTCTCACCTATCTGTGGTGTCTTTATATTATGGGACAATCCTTGGTCAGTATTTTGTCCCATCCTCCAATAACTCTAATATCAAAGACATCATTTCTGCTCTGATGTATACAGTGGTGACTCCCATGCTGAACCCCTTCATCTACAGTCTGAGGAACAGAGATATTAATGGGGCCCTAAAGAAAGTCCTTAGGGGAATGTTCTCTTGTCCTTCATAGCCAGAACTATGATCTAATTTTACTCAGGTCATGGAATTATACATTTTGTCTACTCATTCTACAATTCATAAAAATAAAGATAATTTAAACTTATTTTTCCAAATTTCTGCATAAATTCTCCATAGAGAATCTATCAGATATCAATAAGAATTCCCCAAGATGAAAAGGGATAGATTTTTGTTGAGCTCTTGAGTGGTAGACTGACCACTCACATGAATGCAAAGAAAAGTACATTGATTTATTGTTCACAAGTCACCATTTCTGGACTTTATGGTATTTCTGTGAGGTGAACAGATAGGGATCCTTTTGGGATGAGGAAAATTAATTGTTGAACAGCTCACATAATTTACTCAAGGTTAATTTACTTTCACAAACATTTTTAGCATCTCTTATGTCCCAGGCATTATTAGGGACTAGGGATACAAAGACAAAAATGTAAAACAGTCCTTTGCCCTGAAGGATGTTACATTCTTCAAATAGGAAGTATTAGGTCTCCTGAAACCAAGTCAAAGCCTGTTCTCAAAAGCTCACACTGAATGCTTACATAAATGAAATAGAAAAAGAGGAGATCAACGAATCGGGCATACAACTAAAAAAAACTAGAAAAAGAACAAATTAAAAATCCTCAATTAAACACCAAATTAGAAATATTGAAAACCAAAGGAAAAATTAATAAAATTGAAATTAAGAAAACTATTGAATTAATAAATAAAACTAAGAGCTGGTTTTATGAAAAAACCAATAAAATACATAAACCTTTGGTTAATTTAATTTTAAAAAAAAGAAAGAAGAAAACCAAATTGGTGGTATCACGAATGAAAAGGGTGAAACCACCACCAAGGAAGAGGAAATTAAAAAAATAATTAGGAACTATTTTGCCCAACTGTATGCTAACAAATTTGACAGTCTTAGTGAAATGGATACATATTTACAAAAATATAAATTGCCCAGATTAACAGAAGAGGAAGTAAAATACTTAAATAACCCCATCTCAGAAAAAGAAATTGAACAAGCCATTGATGAACTCCCTAGGAAAAAATCTCCAGGGCCAGATGGATTTACATGAGAATTTTATCAAATATTTAAAGAACAATTAATTCCAATACTATATAGACTATTTGGGAAAATAGGTAAAGAAGGAGTCTTACCAAATTCTTTTTATGGTTACAAATATGGTGCTGACACCTAAACCTGAAAGAGTCAAAACAGAGAAAGAAAATTATAGACCAATTTCTCTAATGAATATAGATGCAAAAATTTTAAACAAAATATTAGCAAATAGGTTACAGCAACTTATCACAAGAATAATACATTATGACCAGGTGGGATTTGTACCAGGAATGCAGGGTTGGTTCAATATTAGGAAAACTATCAGCATAATTGATCATATCAACACCAAAACTAACAGAAATCACATGATCATCTTAATAGATGCAGAAAAACTTTTGACAAAATACAACAACTCTTCCTATTAAAAACATTAGAAAGCATATGAATAAATGGAGTCTTCCTTAAAAAAATAACATCTACCTAAAACCTTCAACAAGCATTATATGTAATGGGCACAAGCTAGAAGCATTTCCAATAAGATCGAGGGTGAAACAAAGATATCCATTATCACCATTGTTGTTCAATATCATGCTAGAAATGTTAACTTTAGCAAGAAGAGAAGAAAAAGAAATTGAAGGTATCAAAATAGGCAAAGAAGAAACAAAGCTATCTGTCTTTGCAGATGACATGATGATATACTCAGAGAATCCCAGAGAATCAAGTAAAAAACTACTTGAAATAATAAACAATTTTAGCAAAGTTGCAGGCTATAAAATAAACCCACATAAATCATCAGCATTTCTATATATTACCAACAAAGCCCAACAGGAAGAGATAGAAAGAGAAATTCCATTTAAACTTACTGTAGACATTATAAAATATTTAGGAGTCTACTTCCTGAAACAAACACAGGAACTCTATGAACACAATTACAAAACACTTTCCACACAAATAAAGTCAGATCTAAACAATTGGAAAACCATCAGTTGCTCATGGGTAGGCCGAGCTAATATAATAAAAATGACAATTCTACCAAAGCTAATTTACTTATTCAGTGCCATACCAATCAAACTACTAAAAGATTATTTTATAGGGTTAGAAAAAATAATAACAAAATTCATTTTGAGGAGCAAAAGTCCAGAATATCAAGGGAACTAATGAAAAGAAATGCAGGGGAAGATGGCCTAGCTATTCCAGATCTTAAATTGTATTAAAAAGCAGCAATCATCAAAACTGCTTGGTACTGGCTAAGAAATGGAATGGTGGATCAATGGAATAGGTTAACTATGCAAGACACAGTAGTCAATGACCATAGTAATCTATTATTTGATAAACCCAAAGCTCCCAGCTTCTGGGATAAGAACCCACTGTTTGACAAAAACTTCTGGGAAAACTGGAAAAGAGTATGGCAGAAACTAGGCACAGATCAAAATCTCACACCATATACCAAAATAAAGTCAAAATGGGTTCATGATTTAGATATAAAGGCTGATACTGCAAGCAAAGTGGGAGAGCAAAGAATAGTTTACCTATCAGATTTATGGAGAACAGAAGAATTCATGACCAAACAGGAGATAGAGAACATGAAAAAAAGCAAAATGGATAACTTTGATTGCATTAAATTGAAAAGTTATTGCACAAACAAAGCCAATGCAACCAAGATTAGAAGGAAGGTAGAAATTTGGGAAAGAATTTTTACAATCAGTCTCTCTGATAAGGGCCTCATTTCTAAAATATATGGAGAATTAAGTCAAATCTATAAGAATACAAGTCATTCCCCAATTGATTAATGGTCAAAGGATATGAACAGGCAGTTCTCAGATGAAGAAAGTAAAGCCATCTATAGTCATATGAAAAAATGCTCTAAATCACTATTGATTAGAGAAATGCAAATCAAAACAACTCTGAGGTCCCACATCACACCTATCAGATTGTCCAACATAACAAAACAGGAAAATGATAAATGTTGGAGCAGATGTGGGAAAATTGGAATACTAATGCATTGTTGGTGGAGTTTTGAAATGATCCAACCATTTTGGAGAGCAATTTGGAACTATGCCCTTTGACCCAGCAATAGCACTTCTAGGGCTATGTCTGAAAGAGATCATACAAATGGGAAAAGTACCCACATGTACAAAAATATTTATCACAGCTCTTTTTGTGGTGGCAATGAATTGGAAATTGAGAGGATGCCCATCAATTGGGGAATGGCTGAGCAAGTTGTGGTATATGAATGTAATGGAATACTATTGTGCTTTAAGAAATGATGAATAGGCTGACTTCAGAGAAACCTGGAAAGACTTGTATGGTCTGATACTGAGTGAAATGAGCAGAACCAGGAGAACATTGTACACAGTAACAGCCACGTTGTGCAATGGCTAATATTGATAGACTTAACTTTTCTCAGCCATACAAAGATCTAAGACATCTCTAAATGCCTCATGATGGAAAATGCTATCCATATCCAAAGAAAGAACTATGGAGTTTGAATTCAGATCGAAGCACAATACTTGCTATTTTTTTTCTTCTGTTGTGTTTTGTTTCCTCTTTCTGGTGGTTCCTCCTATTGGTTCTAATTCTTACCTGCAACATTACTAATGTCAAAATATGTTTAATAGGAATATATATGTATAGCCCATATCAGATTGTGTGCCATCTTGGGGAGGGAGGTGTAGAGAGAGCGGGAGAAAAATGTAAAACTCAAAAGCTTATGGAAGAGATTGTCAATAATTCAAAATAAATTAATTAAAATTTTTTAAAAGCTCACACTAATTTTCAGCTAATACTATTTTAATTCAGAATTAATTCAATGGCTTTTTACCAGAGAGAAAGACAATATAATATGGGAGAAAGAGCGATACATCTGGAGGTGGTAGACTTGGGTTCACATGCCATTTCTCCCAACTACTATCTGTGTGATCTTAAATTACTTAATCACTCTGGGGCTCCATTTCTTCTTTTGTAAAATGAGAGAGTTGGAATGGATGACCTATAGGGTCTTTTTTTGCTCTAATTCCATAACTATTAATAGTTGGGTCTTTTACATTTTGGTTGGGTGCAGCCCATAGAAGGTCTGTGATCATACTGTGCAAGCGTAAGGGCAGTGATAACCAGCTTACAGTAGCAAAAATCATTTTTATTGCTCATGGATATATTCACATTTATAGTAGCAGGAGGAGGCCCTTCTAGAAACCCTATGCAATGGTTGAATACAAGGGAAATCTTCAAGTATCAATGACTTTATCCTGATAGAGGATCCAAAGATCCTAACTAGGGTAGTACCTTTTGTAGGCAACCTAGAGAGTTACATAGGTGCCTTATCACAAATGAGGGAATTCACCTGGCCATAAGGGTTCAAAGCCAGAAACACTACCTGGTTCAAGAAGATGTTCATAATTCCATGTGGGTTGAGGTGTGGGGGAGAGGATACAGATGATGGTTCCAACGGTTATTATGATCATAATTGGTAACCAATAGTGACTTTTTTTTTGTTCATCCTGGCTTTCTATTTAAAAATCTCTACAACTCTCCTGCCTCCTCCAGTGAAGGAGTTAGTAACAAAGAGTCTGGTATTAGGAAATAGAAGTGGAGAATGTGACATGGAAATTCTAAAAGACAACTCTTGAGCCAAGTCTCAGTAAGACTGAGCTGAGTGAAGTCTATCAGTGGTACCACCTACTTGATCTCTTTCTTGGTTGTGGCCTTGAGGTAATCATGAAAATTGAGTGAAGCATACTGACTCCTTCTTGTGACTATTCTAGATCTAGCTCTATCCCCTTTCTGTTCAATTATAGGTCTAGTCCAATTTTTGTCTTGTGAGGAAACTTTCTTCAATTAAGGGAATAGTGAGAAAATGTTATTGCATTGTTTGAACCTAGCCCTGAGTGGCTGGGAAGCTGGATCACCTCTGCCAAAGGACCTAGATTAAGCTTATCAGAAACCCAGTCAGA